AGAGGGAGAGGGAGAGAGAGAGAGAGAGAGAAAGAGCGCGAGGAAAAAGGGAAAATGAAGAAAATCGACACGCTGCCTCTCTCAGCTTCGCCGACCCGACCATGACCAGGACACGACTGCGTGGCTCTTCATATCTTCATTACCCCAACACGCCTACGCAAGCGCACAGCACCAACTTCGTCCATCATCCGGCCGCAATGCAGCTCCCAGACGCACGCCTGTGGGCGCCCTGGGCCGGCGGCGGCGCCGCGCTGCTGGTCGTCGCCTCGTCGGCGGCGGCGCTCGCTTGCCGCCGCCCGAGCGGCGAGTCGGGCGAGGCCCTCCTCCGCACCGCCGCTCGTCCAGCCTTCTTCCGAAGCCTGCGAGGCACGGCCGCCACTCTGCTCGTGGTCGCGTCCACATACGCCCTCGCTGTCGCCGAGTTGCTGGCCGGCGGCCTCTTCGGCGGCCAGCTGCGCGGTCTGCTCCCCTGTCTCGCCCTCCTCGCCATCGCCGCGACGGCCGAGGCGGAGCACTCCACCAACCACCTGACCGCGCCTCACTCAACCTCAAGCTGTGGCGCGTGGTGGAGGCTGCGTGCGGCGACGCGTGCCGCGACGGCAGTCATCATCGGCTGGCCGCACTTTGCAGCCTGCGCGAGCGGCACCGCTCTCGAGCTCGAGCCATCCCTCCTCGCGCTCGGCGCCGCCCTCGTCGCAGGCGGGTTCGCCCTGCTCGCCGTTTGCGGCCCGGCGGCGCTCTGCCCGACCGCGTCTCCGCCCGCGCCGCTGCGGCAGTCGGCTCTCGTTCCGAAGCTCCTCTACCTCTTCTGGTGGCGCTGGGTGCGACGCTTCTCGCGGATCGACCGCACGCGCAGCGAGCCGCTCGGTGCGGACGACCTCCCGTCGCTCGACCCGCGCCAGGGGGCGGCACTCTGCGTCGCAGCCGTCGGCGACTCGCGCGAGCTGCGCGGGCTGCCGCGCGCCTATGCGGCCTCGAGTCGAGTCACCGCGGCGGCGCTGCTCCGCGACGTGCTTCGCCTCGTACGGGGCGAGGCGTGCCTGCAGGGCGCCTGGTGCATCTACACTCTGCTCATGGTGTACGCCGCGCCGCTCGGCACGCTCCAGAGTAGAGCAGTAGAGCCACACGACGGCACGATCATACCCACGTGTCCACGGCACGCCCATGATAGGCATGAGCAGGCTGATTGACTTTGTCGACGAGCGCCACGGCGGCGGCTCGCTCAGCGGCGCGGCGATTGGCTACGGCTGCCTGGTGGCGCTCGGGCCGCTCCTCTCGGCTTGTGGCGACGCGCAGACCTTCAACAACGGCTGGCTCATGGGGACTCGCATTCGCGCCTTCCTCACCCACACGCTCGCCGACAAGGCGCTGCGCTTCGACCCCTGCGCCTCCTCGGCGTCCGTGGGCGAGCTGACGAACCTGCTCGCCGTCGACGCCAACAACATCACGATCTTCACGCCCGGCGCGTCGTGGCTCTTTCTCGAGGGCGCGCAGCTCGTCTTGACCCTCGCCCTCCTCTTCTACATCCTCGGCCCTGGCGCGCTCGGGGGGCTGGCCGTCTGCTTGGTGTTCCTGCCGCTGAACGCGGTCGTGATGCGAGTCATCAAGCGTCTGCAGGACCGTCTGATGAAGCAAAAGGACCGGCGGATGGCCGCCGTGAGCGAGGCGCTCGGAGCTATCCGCACCATCAAGCTGAACGGCTGGGAGGACGAGTTCGAGGCGAGGATCGGAGCGCTCCGGGCAAAGGAGATCGCCACGCTGCGCGCCTTCCAAAACCTCGGCGCGATCACCTCGACGCTGTGGCTGTGCGCGCCCTCGATGGCGGCCCTCGCGTCCTTCCTCGTCAAGAATGTGCTGCTGCACGAGGACATCACCGCCAGCCAGGGCTTCACGTCGCTAACGCTGTTCCAGCTTCTCTCGGTCTCGATGACGTTTCTGCCCGCCGTCCTCAACCAGGCGATCCAGTCGTGGGTGGGTCTCCGCCGCATCGCGCGCTTCATCTCCCTGCCAGATGTCGATGGGTTGCCCGCGGCGGCTGGCGGCGGCGAGGGTGGCTTCGTCGAGATCTCGCGCGGCAGTTTTCGCTGGTCGGAGGCGAGCATTGGGAAGGACGCGGGCGAGGAGGGCGAGGACGGCGTCGCGCCGCTTCTCGCCGGGCAGGCGAACCGACCCACCGCCTCTCCCCCAGCTACGCTGGACACGATCAGCTTGCTCGTTCGGCCGGGGGAGCTTGCTCTCGTGTGCGGCCCGACGGGTTGCGGCAAGTCGTCGGTGCTCGCCGCCCTCTGCGGCGAGATTCCGAGGCTCGGAGGCACCGTCGTGTGCTCCGGCAGGATCTCGTACTGCCCCCAAAGGGCGTTCGTGATGAACGCGACCCTTCGCGACAACATCCTGTTCGGCAGCCCGTACGAGGCGTCGCGCTATCGCGCCGTCCTCCAGGCGTGCGCCCTCGAGCCCGACCTCAAGCTCCTCCCGGCGGGCGACATGACCGAGATTGGCGAGAAGGGGGTGAACCTCAGCGGCGGCCAGCAGCAGAGAATCAACCTGGCGCGGGCCTGCTACGCGCGCTCTGACATCGTGCTGCTCGACGACGTCCTCAGCGCCGTCGATGCACACGTCGGCCAGCACTTGTTCGACCGCTGCATCAACGGCTTCCTCGCTGGCCGCACGCGCGTACTGGTGACGCACAGCGTTGCTTCCACCTTGGAGCGCGCTTCGACCGTCATCGTGATGGGCGAGGGTGGGCGTGTCTTGGCGCAGGACACGCCCTTCGGCGAGCACGAGGCCATCGCTGCGCTGCGCACCCGCTCCCGCCCGCCCTCTACCCTCGACCTGAGCGCGCTCGCACCCGCCACGCCCGCGACGGCGGCGGCAATGAGCGACACGGGAGACGGCGGCAGTGGCGACAGTGGCAGTGGTGGCGGCGGCGGCAGAGGTGGCGGCGGCGGCGCTGGTGATGGCGGCGGCGGCGCTGGTGATGGCGGCGGCGGCGATGGAGACGGCGGCGGTGGCGATGGAGATAGCGGCGGCGGCGGTGGCGGCGGCATCACAAAGGTGGAGGAGCGGGCTCGGGGCGCTGCCAAAGCGGCGACTTACAGGAGCTACCTCGCTGCGGCGGGGAGCTGGCGCTTTCACCTTCTGTTCTTGGCCACGTGCATCGCCTTCTCGAGCCTGAGTCCTCTGCAGAGCGTCGCTCTCAAGATGTGGGTCGCGTCGATGGCACCCGGCGCCTCCGGCGACTCCTCCCGGCCCTGCCTCCTGTACGTGCTCGCCGGTGTCGCGTTCATCACCACTACTCTCGCGCGGAACGTCCTCTTGCCGTCCGCCTCCGTGCGTGCCTCGCGTCGTATGCACGCCGCCATGACGGCCACTGTGCTGCGCGCGCGCATCAGCTGGTTCGAGGCGACGCCGCTCGGCCGCATCCTCAACCGCTTCTCCTCGGACATCAGCGCCGTCGACCAGCAGGTGGCCAACCAGTGCAAGGATACGCTCGTCATTTCCTTCAACGTCGTCGCCATCACGCTTGTCTGCACGCTTGGCTCGGGCGACGCCGCCTCGCAGCTTGTCGTGCTCGGAGCCGTCCTTCTCGCCACCGCCTCGTCGACCTTCGTCTATTCGTCTTACCGCACGCCGGCGCGAGAGCTCAAGCGGCTCGAATCGGTCACCAAGTCCCCGCTCTTCGCCAGATTCGCGGAGATGGTGAGCGGCGCCGCGGTGGTGCGCGCCTTTGGCGAGCAGCAACGCTTCCTGGCCACGACTGCGAACAATGTTGACTGCGCGAACCGCGCCCTCTTCTACCTCTGGCACACGAATCAGTGGTTAAGGGTCTCTATGAACCTTGTCGGCTCGATGGTGACGGGTGCAGTGGTTGCTAGCGTGCTGTGGCAGGCCAATAAGCTTGAGGGTGGCGACGCCGGGCTGACTCTTTCCTACGCGACGCAGTTTACGCAGGCCATCATGTGGTTTTTCCGCATCTACACGCAGCTGGAGGTGTCGATGAACGACGTCGAGCGCATCAACGAGTTCTCCAGGCTCGAGACCGAGGCTTACCAGCAGGGTGAGCCGCCGGCGCCAGAGTGGCCGGGCGACGGGACCGTCAGCTTCAAGAATGTCCGCCTGCAGTACGCCACCGCCGCGGCGCCGGTCTTTGCGCGCCTCTCCTTCACGGTGCCGGCGCGGACGCGCTGCGGCGTCGTCGGTCGGACTGGCGCAGGCAAGAGTTCTCTCGCGGTCGCGCTCTTCCGCGTGGTGGAGCTCTCTGCAGGCTCCATCTGCATCGGCGGCGCCGACCACCAATCTATCCGACTGCAGACGATGCGCTCGCGCCTCTCCATCATCCAGCAGGAGCCCACGCTCTTCCGAGGGACGGTGAGGTACAACCTCGATCCAGTCGGCGATGGCGGCGGCGGCGACGCGCGGCTGTGGGACGCGCTGCGCCGCGCGGGGCTCGAAGCCAAGGTTCGCGCCTTGCCGGGAGGGCTGGACGCCGAGGTGTCGGAGGGCGGCGCGAACCTGTCGGCGGGGGAGCGGCAGCTCGTCTGCATGGCACGTGCGTTGCTCAAGGCGGCGCCCATCCTCGTCATGGACGAGGCCACCGCGAACGTGGACCACGAGACTGACACCAGGATCCAGACGATGATCCGCGAGGACTTCTGCGGCACGACGACGGTCCTCACCGTGGCGCACCGCCTCAACACAATTGCCTTCTACGAGCGAGTTCTGGTCCTTGATGCCGGCGCGGTCGTCGAGTACGACAGTCCCCGCACGCTCCTGGATAAGCCCGGAGGTGCCTTCCGCAGCCTTGCGGAGGAGTCGGGGGAGATGGGGGCGCTGCGTGCCGCCGCCGCGAGCGCGACCGAGGCTTGACTTGTGCGTAGAGTACGCGGGGACGCGGGGTAATATGACACACGACACGTGTATGTAGAGTCAGGTGAAGAGGTGTCAGCGCGCGTCACTGTCACAGTACACAGTGACGTGCGCTCTCATACCACGGCTCTTGGAACTAACAGTACGCCGCTCTAACACCAAGACTTGCGCCAAGATATGCACACGTGGATTTACTCAAATGTTAACGCCGTAATTATCTATTAACTATTATGGGGAAAATGGTCGGCACACATGCTACACAACCGCCACGGCCTCACTTGTCTCCATCTCGACCGTCTGCTCACACACCCCAGCCTCTCGAGGTGCCGCTGCAGTTCGGCCTCTCGCTTCCCGGCCAATGCGAGCAGAGCCGGCTGCGATGAGTGCCGGGTCGCGCGAGCGTCGCCACCGAGCGCAAAGAGCGAAAGCGCACGCAAACGGCAGCGGGCAAGCTGCGATGCCAAAGGTCGCGGCGGCGACGGCAAACGAGCTGCGCAAGCCGACAGCCTCGACAACAAAGCCCCACCCGAAGGTCGCGCCCAGCTGACCGAGTTGCATGGCCGACGAGAGGAGGCCGACAACCGTCGCCTGGAGCCCATCTCGCGCGAACTCGTCGCCGATGACCGCGATGGAGGTGTAGGCGAGTGCGAAGCTCCACCCATGCCCAACCTCGAAGGGGAGGACGGCCCAGGGCGAGGGCGCGACCCACCAGCCGCTGAACCGGAGGGCGGCGGCAAGCGAAGTGGAGAGGAGGGCCGTTCGGAGGCCGCCAAGGGCGTTGACCAGACGGCTCGCCGCGCGGAAAAGCGGTACCTCGATGGCTGCCTGCGCGGTGAGTGACATTCCGACGAGGACGCCCGGCGCGTGCAGCTCCCGCTTGAGGTAGATGAAGCCCCAGACGAAGCCGATCCCCATGTTTAAGCCGACGAGCGAGAGCAGTGGCAGCGCAAAGCACAAGAGCTTCCCGCGCCTCCCGCCTCCACAGAGCGCGCGCCGCATGCGCACGCAGAAGGACTCGGCCGGCGCCTCGCGGTCCGTGCTGACCGCGTCGCCGTCCTTCTCCCCGTGGTTCTTGTCACCCGCCTTGCCGCCGCCGTCTCCGCTGCTGCCAGCCGCCTCGGGATTGCCTCCCGCGCCAGTGCTGCCACCGGCGTCGCTCCGGCCTGGCTGCGTAACGGTGGAGTACGCCTCGCGAATCGGGAGGAGGAGGATGACCGGCAGCAGCAGGAGCTGCAGCAGGGAGTATGCATAGAATAGCGCCGCTATTCCGAGGGAGTCGGCGAGCAGGCCGCACAACGGAGCCGCGATGCACCAGCTGACGGCGCCCCACGACCGCGCTCCTGGAGCCGCGCCTGCCTTGCCAGCCCAAGCGAGCGAGCGCATGACAAAAGCATCGACCAGCGTGCCGCAGTCGCTCAATGCGCCGACGACGAGGCAGCCCGCCTGGGCCAGCCGTGAACTCGGCGCTAGGGTCAGCGACGCAATCGCCAGGCTGTTGACGACGGTGAGCGCGAAAAAGAGGACCGTGCGCCGGCTGCCGAGCCAGTCGGCGAGAAAGCCTAGCATCATCGGCGCGAAGAAACGCACCACAGACGACACACTGCCGAGCACGCCCCGCTCGTGGGTGCCGAAGCCGTTCTGCTCGAGCCAGAGGTATAGGTAGGGGTGGAAGGCTGCGAGGACCAGGAAGCGGAGGCCAAAGACGACAGACGCGATCGTCACGAGCTTGCCGCTCGCGTCCATCCCATCGGGCACGCCGCGTGTGCGGAGGTGATGCGGCGGCGATCGTACGCGCGAAGCCTCGCGGGCGTCCGGGTTTCTTTCAGTGTGGTCGCGGCCGGAGATCGGCGGGGAGGGGATGGAGTCGGAAGATGAGGATGGTCCTCTCGGCGAGCACCATGGTGCTCGCGGATTCGACCATCCACCTTCTGACTACGAATCCGACGGCGGCTTCTGTGAGGACGACGGCTTCTATTAGAAGCCGTCGTCCGCTTAGCCTGTTGTGTGAATTCCCAGGGCCTCCATGGCACACACCTCAACCTCTCACAGACCAGCGCACAGCGCCATAGGACGTATTTTCTTCTCAATAACAAGGCTGTGAATCGTGCGTGTGCGACAGAGTTGTGTTGTAAAATTCTTCTTTCAGTGTGTGCGCCAGTCTACGCCCTTGTCGAGAGAGAGATTTTTAGCAATACCAAACAACTCTAACACTCACACGTCATTTTGTCCTTGTCGTGCCAGTGTGCACATTGTTTTTATTGCCGGCGGTACAGCAGGAGTGTTTCTTTCAACGGCGGCGGGCGCTTGCCCCCAACCAACGCGACAAGTATGGTTGGCCCGCTCGCGCTGCCCTTCCTGCCGTGCTCTGCCGCCTGCGATCTCCTTGCAATCCCAGGAAGCGGCGCGGCGGCTGCGACGTGCCGGGCTGAGGCCGACCAGTGGCCACTCGGCTGCTCCTGCGCGATGGACAGGCGCGATGCGTTGGCTTGCTCGGACGCCTGCATAGAGGACTTTGAGAACTGCGAGCGCTTTGGCCCCGGCGCTCTACCATGCCGCGCGGTGATAGCGAGGCTCTCCCGGTGCGAGTCGGAATGCATTCTGCCACTTCTGGAAGGCAATTCTGCCGAGGCTGGGCTGTTCTGCTCGGACGCTTGCGTGCTGGACTTTGCAAAGTGCTCGCGCTATGGCCCTGGCGCGCTCGTGTGCCGCAGGGAGGCTGCCTCGCGTTCGGGTCGACTCGCGCGGCTCTGCGCCGCAGGCTGCGCTCTGTTTACCGAGTCCAAGGTCAACGAGGAGTGATGCCGCAGGGAGTGCTGCGCTCCGCCTCCCTGGTGCGCTGCTCACCTGCCAGCTGCCTCAAACGGCACACCCACCATGGGCAGGCGCATGACACGTGACACCGCCCAAACGCGGGAGGCAATACTTAGTGCTTAGGTGCCTGATTTACTTCAAAAGGAGCTTCTGTAGCGGAAACGAGCGAGACGGGCCGTTTTCGGCGGGTAGAGCTCGGTATCGTTTCGCGCCGCCGCCGCGCGCCGGCGCCGCCATTCACACATGCCTCGCTCACACGGCACAGACACCACAGTCACCAGCCTGCCCGCACCTGCGGTGCGCCCGTGCCGCGCTCTCTCGTCCTGCGCATGATGTGTAATGCGTGTGTGTGTGTGGTGTGCGGCGGCTTGAGTCACACACTTCTCACTTGAGCCTCTCTATGATTAGAGAGTAGACCGTCTTCACGCACGTTAGAGACCGCCCCGCTCTGTCTGACTCTAAAAAAACGGCCGCGCGTAAATCTCACCTATGTGTCTCAAAATGTAAGAATTCCTACAACGACATTATGCCGCGGCCCGCGGGGTCGCGAGCCGGCGACCCGCGGGGGTTAAGCTCAAGCCACCCACGCACCGTCTCCTCGACAACGCGCCGCGCCGCGCTGACACCCGGCGCGTCGAGCGGTGACGGGAAACGCAAGTCCTGGTGGTGGGCTCCTCCGGCGGCGACGAAACGGCGGACCGACCCGCCGCTGGCGACAGATTCGGTGCCGATTTGCCACGGGTCCTTGTCGTTCTCCACGAACAGGAGGTTCGAGTGGTGGCGGTAGTCGGCGCCGTGGCCAAAGGCGAGCCCCATCCAGCCGGGCCGCGGCTGCACGCCGAAGCGGTCCGCGCACCTGTCCGCCAGCTGCGCCGCCTGCTTGCCGCTCGCCTCGGGGTAGAAGCCGAAGCCGTCGCTCGTGATCGGCTCGAGGGGCAGCTCGGTGCACGCCTACTCCTCCCTCGGGGCGCGAGAGTGAGTCGAGGCAGCGCCGACGCCGAGATTGAAGTGCCCGGGAGGCTGCCTGGTAGTTCCAGCTCTGCACGCCCAAGTCGCTCCCGTCCGCCCACCAACCAGGCCTCCCGCCGACCAGCTCGGCCCGCAGGTCGACGCAGCGCAGCGCGCCCGTCCCGTTGACAAGGCGCAGCACGGCGGAGTGGAGCCGGCGGAGCGGCTCGCCCGGCGCGAGCAGGTCGCCGCACGCGCGCCGCACCGGGTTCGGCGGCAGCAGGCCGACGAAGCGGCTCTGGTATGGGTAGTCGAGCATCGCCTGCCACCGGGCAGGGACGGCTCCGGGGAGGGACCGAGCAGGCCTCTCGTGCGGCCGCGCTGCGACGCCGTAGACGCCATCGCGCCGCGAGCGTAGAAGGCGTACCTCTCGACCGCGTCGCCGCCCATCGGGTCGCACGGCCGAACGCCCGCCGCGACGAGCTGCGAGGGCGTGGCGGCGTCGGCGGCAGCGAGCGCGGCCTGCAGCGCGGACGAGCAGCCCGAACCTTTGCCGCCGTAGACGGCAAATGTTCGGTTGACGGCGGCGGCGAAGCGGCTCTGCACGCCGTCGTAAAAGTCGACGGGAGCGCCGCTCGCCACGGCACCGAGGCTGAGGTGCGGGTAGCGGACCCGGTGCCACGCCGCGAGCATGCCGCCGTACGAGCCGCCAAAGAGGACCGTGTCGCAGAGAGGGCGGCTCGGGTCGACGGAGGGGCGGGCGCTCCGGCAGCCGAGCTCCGCCGGCAGGGCGAGGAGCAGGGCGGCGTAATCCGCGAGGGCCTGCTCGACGCTCAGGAGGCTAAGGTTGGCCGGCGTGAAGGAGGCGGCGCCAAACGGCAGCGAGGAGCCGTAGTAGCGGTGCTCGGCAAAGAGCAGGCGAGCGCCCAGCCTGGAGGCGAGCGTGAAGAGCGCGCCTGAGTTATTGTAGAAGAGCTCGACGGCGCCTTCGTTGCCAGCGTAGAAGAGGACAGGGCTGCGGGCGTCGCGTGCAAAGGCGTCGTAGCTCAGATACGTGAGGTCGAACTGAGCAGCGGAGGTGAAGCGAAAGTGGTCGCGCGGGACAGCGAAGCGGCCTCGGGACGGCGGGTACAAGTGGAGCGCGCCGGGCTGCTCGGCCATGCTTGTGTCCGCCTGCCCCGGCTGCCCAATGCGAACTCTCGAGGTCTCGAATTATTGAGAAGAAAATACCCGGAGGCGCTGCGCGCTGGTCTATGAGAGGTTGAGGTGCGAGCCCTGGAGGCCTTCACAGCGCGACACGCGACAGCGGACACAGGGCTCGGGGTGTCATCCCAACCCCTGCCTAGACGAGTACAGCTAAAGAGTACCCGGGGCTCCCCATACGGGAGAGCCCCAGCAGAAACCCGGGCAAAG